AGGGACCGGCCAGGTAAGAGCCGCAGCCGCCCGCCGCCCGGATCCCGCCGTGCTCCGTCCTCCAGAGCACGAGTCCTGCCCTGCGCCGATCCGGTCCGGCGCCGCGCCGCGCCGCGCCGCTCCTCTCCCACCTGCAGCCTCCAGCCTTGCCGGCCCGGGCAGTACTGACTCAGAGGCCGCCCCCCTCGCTCCCGCGCGCAGCAGCCGCCGATGCCCCTTTCCTCCAGTCCCTTCTTGACCCCGGCTGGCACCGCACCTGGTGGCACGCTTGTTTTGAAGCGCTGCCCCTGTTTTTAAGGGGGTTCGTTTCTGAAAGACGTCCTTAAGACAGGAGTGCAGGCAAAAAAAAGGGACTCTGCTCGGAGGATCACGTTCACCAGCCGGGGAGCCTGCAGAGGAAGGAGCAAAGCTGAGTGGGGAAGTTCCTGGAAAGGAGCGATGTCAGGGGATGTTCAAGGAAACATTGTGGGATGGATGGATGGGGACAATGCATCGTGGGGTGGGAGAAAAGAATTAAAATCACTCTTGTGGGGTTTTCATCTCGTCTTCACCTGGACAGCAGGAGAGGTTATGAGTCTGCCCTGATTTTGAGATACTGTTTTCACTGCTGGCCGCTGTTTGTCAGTGACTTGCTAATGCCCTTGAAGTCAGCAAGGCTGGGGGGACAGGAGGAGGGAAGGGGAAGCTTCAGCTATTTTCATGAATTTATGGGAAAGGGAAGGCAAACATTTCCACCTGGCCTGTCAGGAATTGAATGAAAAATGATAAATGGATCCACGAATCAATGGGGAAAATATGGTGTGAGTACATTCGCTGTGGACATGCAACAATCTGTTTCCCTGCAGAGTCATATACATATGTTCATAGCATATTAGACACAAACAACTTTGACAGAGTAACCGGCATATTGCCTAAAGCACTGGATACAGATTACGCTGCCTTGTGGGATGCATGGATGCTCCTAGGGATACCTGAAGTCTGCACATCTTCTCCAAAGGTAAATCACTCTGCTACTAATGAGTAGCAAACTGGTGCAATAGAGCTAGCTAGCTGAAATATATGTGCACGCAGGCCCTCCAAGATATGTTCACAAGGAACGCATGTCAGTACACACTGTGCTAACACAGCGGTGGTACTTAGGCATGCAGTCCTAGGGGGTCTTAAAAACACCAGGTGGACAACAACACAAAAAGTGCCAGGGCCCCTCAAGAGATACTGAGGTCATGAAATATGCATACATATATATATATATGCATGCAAATATACATACATGCTTCAATGCATACATACATATATATATATATATATATATATATACATACAAATATACATACATGCCTCCATGCATACACACACATATATATATATATGCATACAAATATACATACATGCCTCTATGCATGTACGTACATTGCAAATGCCCAAGCAAATGAATGTAAGCTATAATATTGCCCCATGGATTTCCAGTTGCAACCCACGTGGGTTACTGCCAAGAATCCTGAAAAATCTGAAGTTTAAATATCAGACCAGAGGTTTATGAAGACAAATGCTCTGATGTAATTAAGGGGCTGGCAGTGACCTTACTTTTATGTCCATTGGCACAAAACAGAAATGCCTAGTCATCTCTAAACTATGGCATAGGAGCATAAGCTACTGTAGAGAGCAGGTAAACAGAAATATATAATGAAAGCAGAACACGGGTATTGGTCGTAACAAGTGCAAAGTCGCTGAATAACTCCAGGTTTGGATTGCAGCCAGGAGGAAGTTTGCTAGAGTATCCCAGCAAAGACAAGATGGTGACTACCTGATTCTTGTCTCTCACCAGCTTCCCCTCAGTGCAGCTGCTCCTTAATTACACGGGCACCAGTAATAAACTGGATTTGCAGGATACAGAAATCCATTCTCCACCTGTGCACTTCATGACACTGATCCCACAACTGCCTGCATCAGAAGTAAACACACTGAAGCCAGTGGACTTATCATTATGTAAAACTGGTGTGGGAGGAGGGTGAGCCCACATGGGGCTTTGCTGGCATTTCAGAAGGCTTCAAAGTAGCTCTGTGTGCACCGCATTCGTAATACCTATGCTCAAGCCTGCATTGCTTTCTTTGCACTTGCTGCACCAGGGAGTTTTGGGGTCAGCATAATCAGTATTGCTTCCTCAGTGCCAGCTCTGCCCAATGCCAGCTCTGCCCTGGCACCACCGTGTAGGCATGATCCAGGGTGCCGTGTTAAAGCAAATAGTTGTGGGGCTGGAATGTGATGTGCTCCAGCAACCCTGGAGCCCATGAGAAATTAGAGAAACTGTGAAGTTGGTCTGATTTGTGCTGGTAGCCAGGTGTGGGAGAGCTGAAGATGGAGTGACTCGCTTGGTCCTGTGCCCCGTTACCCCATGGAGGTGACAACACTCCTGTAATTCAACTTTTCTCCTTTGTGTAGGAGGATGACAATTCTTCCCATCATGGGTTCAGATCTCAGAACATGCTATTCCCACATCGCTGCTTCCCTAGGGCATTTCCATATTACTCTATACAGTCCATGCTAGCTTACCAGCATGCACACAGGCATAACTTGCCCAATACCATATCAATGGCATCTATTTAAAAAGTATTTCTCTTTTGCTAGTGCTTTATTCATTCAACATTGTTGCATTTAGTAGAACTAATGACATGTTCCACCTATAGCTGGTTGCTTTTGAAGCATGCGAGCAGACAGTGTTGCTGCTGAATTTCTGTTTCTTCGTCCCAGGTTTGCCTCTGGCTCACCAGGGGATTTTGAACAATTCATTGGTTTCTCTATTAGGATGCTGCTTGCCTGCATCATAGTGGTTTAATTACGCCTGGTCTCATACCAACTTACACTGGGTTAGTAAAATTGGGGCAAGCTCCCTGATGGGATGTGTTTTCATTTGGCTGAGAAATGATCGAGTGTAAACGAGTAAGGAATTAATCTAAAGATTGTGGGTGAAATCCTAATCCTGTTAAAACCAGTGACAAAATTCCCATTGACTTCAGTGCAAAGTGCTTTGAGAACTGCCCCTGGAAGGAGCTGTTGAGATAAGTGCTACGTACTATTATTAACATTTTCTTTTACCATCATGGTGTGACCCATGTCTTCTGTTAAACACCACAGGAGTCACACGGAGTTGTGTGTGTGCATGTCTGTGTGTGTGAGAGAGAGATTCAGTATCGTATCAGGAGAAAGTGAATAGTTTAGGTTTAAATGATGTCATTCTCCAACGTTACATTGACAGGGAAAATCTTCTGGTATCTCAGTTCCTTACCGGAGAAAAACCCTCTAATGCAAAGCAAAGCATTTAAGAACAAATCTGAAGCACCATCATTTTCGAACTCACTGAACAAGGGTTTGTTGCTCCCTCTGCTGGCTGATCTAACACCCACCATTTCCAGAGCTCTTCCATCCTCACAGACGGAAGAATATTTCTGGCCTGACTCTGTATCCTCACCAATATAGATCAGAAACAAATTCACGCTGTCAATGGACTGCCATCAATAACAGCTCTAGCTTGAGATCAGAAATGGACCCTATCTGTAGCCTTGAAAGATAATGCACAGAAGCTGCAAAGTATTCACTAATTATTCACCTTTGAATAATTACAAACATCAGAGAATAAACCGTTTACAGTGTTTCAAGCATTTTTTGATTATTTCAAATGGAGGATAGGTATGTTCTGTGGCTCTGACTGGACACACGTTGAGATCTATTGTCATAAACATACACCAACCAAATTCTTTACATGCCATCCTTGTTTTCTCAGCATCTCATGGACTCTGCTGGACAGAAATGCTGTGGCTGGAATAAAAAGGTCACTCAGTGCAGAAGAAT